TATCACAAAGAATTACATTAGTAACAAATTGATAGATTCGAATAGGATATCCAATAATTTATTATTCATGGTATTCCGTGAACTCTGAATTCCCTACTCGTGGATTGGGGTTGCACTAAGAGGGTTGCAATGTGTTTCTTTGGAAGCCGTCCTAGCCATTTTCGCTATATATTCGCCACGAATATCTACACTTACTTATTCCAATTCATTGCAATATTGATATAAACATATAAACATATACAATGAGCATTTTCAATGTTAGAAACTTATTTATTTATCTCAATAGTAAACAAACAAATAATATCGCCCTCGTATTTTCATTCGCATTTCAAAAACCGACCGAGTTTCACTGCGTTAAATATCGTAATAAAGAATGAAATAAAAGTACAATTATTGCACCGAGTGTCAGAGCAATTAAATTAAATTGTCAAGTTAAAATTATGTTTTGAAAAGCTCATCCTCCATGAAAATTCTCCATTTTCTTTTCTCTATTGAAAACACGTTTTTACGCAAACGTGAGTAAGAAGGGTCGCGGGTTATTTGGCTGCTATAAAAGAGGTCGAGAGAAAGGTTGGGAAACACTGGTCTAAACTTTCACTCATCACGCACCGTTCACCCCCTAAGCGTACTCACCCTCGCGACGCATAAACGTGATACATAGACGGTTGCACACAGTCCTCGAGCTTTCTGGCACGCCCGTGCACTCGCAGGATCCTAATTTCTAAACGTGACAGACACGCTTTGCAGTCGGAATATCCTCTCGTCGTTGAAACGTTGAAACACGAGGGTACGATGATTGCGAGAGTGGAGCTTGAATATTTATTCGCGAGTGATCTTCGGGTCCTTAAAAGGCTTCTACATCTTTACATGCGAATGTACCAGAGCTGGGAAAATAATTTTCAATTTTCGTTTCTTAATTGGACACGTTTAAGTATTGCTTTGACTTGAACGCTATCGCGTTGGAACTAATTATTTCATTCAAATGATGAAATAATTATACCTAATTATTAAGTATTTTTGACAAATTTTTTGTTCTGATACAAACTATCGTCGTAACTTTTCACACATTATCCGAGAGAGATCGACTTTTCCTCGCTGTTTTATACGACCCGAGTATCAAACAGATCTCACTATATCAAAATTACGGTAAACGCGTTGAAGTCAAAACCGTAACATAAGCTTAATCATTCAATGGTGTTCGAGATCCGGAAATGTTAAAAGTATCTTGTTAAAATTCACGCAAGAAGTAACTTTCATGGAAAGCACAGGTTCTTAATTAAGAATTGTAAATATTGCTCAACAATAAAGACGCGTTCTTTCATGTAGCGTTCCATTTTTAATAACCCTGAACCGTCAGCTATCACGCTATTTTTTCTTTATCGTTGGCAACACTTACTGCATAAATAACGCAGAATTCAAATCTTGCGTGAATTTTGGGACACTCTATACGTAACGATCGTTCAACAATTGCATCTCTCGATGGTCGCGCATTACTCACGCAATTATCCCACGCCACCGTCCATATGACTAAAACTTATATTTACGACCTTATCAATGGTATCGACGCAATCCGAATGTGCCAAAATCGCGTGTATGTAAGATCCGAGACAGAAGAACAATTGGGTCGAGCGTGTGTCGCGTCTTTACGTCGCCACCAATAGTGTTTCGACATTTTTCACGAGCAATGGACCATGTGGCCGTTGGCCAAATTAATCCAAAATGACCTATATAAAATTGCTGATTACATTTCGTTGCCGATCCTCCAGCGTTACTCCTGGTTATCGAATGCTTGTTCAGCTGCGCGATCGGAAGCTTCCCGGTTTGTTGTTCATCGGCCCGCCGATGGTTCCGTGATGAAATTGGAGAGGTTGAAATTGATTTGCACCCTTGCTCGGGAGACTTAGGACAGCCTGTTATTTTTGATAATACCATGGTACATCGTGTAGATCAAGAACCTATTGTTAGAGATAAGTTTAATAGAAGTTTGTGGATTAAGTGGTATATATATACATATATATTCCTTTTCGTATATCGTATAAGGGATGAGATCGTTTGTAATTTTCAATCGGGTATTTTTATGCTATATTTTTTCCAAAATAATCTTAATAACTTTGCCTCGATTTGGAATAAAATGCAGTTACTGTTTCGAAAGCTTGATTACCCATTTATACGAAGTGAAGTTTATTACACAATATCCGTATCTCTATGGTGAAATTAGGAAGAAATGTAATTTATGTATTATTTATGATTCTATGATGCAATTAAGAGAAATTGAAGTTTATGTGCGCGGAAGTGAAACATGAAAACTAAGTACACAAAAATTAAATTCAGTTAGACCTGTTCCATGCGGTTCCGTATTTCGGAGATATAGAATATCATTTTTGATTTAGGTAGTTAACGAAATGGAGAATTACTCGATACAGTAGTGATTTGAATATTTAAGTTAAATTAAACGAAATTTTATTTCACGCCGATAATTAAACATCTTATAAGTAAATTTTACGAAATGAATCATATAAGTACTTATGTTATTTTCTTTTTAAAATAATTCCGCGAAGAGACATTGTAAAAAGACGTCAGGCACACATTCGATGATTAAATCATTATAATTTATAATTCTCTGTGACAGTATTTTTATCGAGTTATGTAAAAGAAATCACAGGATGATTAATGACACATGAAATGTAAATGATGTCCGCGACCGACATCGAAAGTTTTCTCTCGACTTCAGGGCTTTATCGTTGGTGCTGGTTTATCTCTACTTTCACTTTCACTGGTTTATCTCCACTTGCGTTTAATGATGCATAACTACTAGCTTTACGTAAATACGATCAATAGTCTGCTCAAATTGTTCAGCTTAGAACAGTTACGTGCGAAAGTCTCATATACGCCTTTTCTTCGTCGTCATTTTGGAGAACTTATTTCCTCGAGTTTTCTCCCAGATATCTAAACGACGCATTTTTTCGGAAGGTCGACTCGCTCGTTTCACAAACTCGGATGGAAACATTTTCAACATCATTGAGTTTTATGTAGATGCCAACTATCGCTGAAGTAAAATTCCTTTTATCGAATCGCGTCGGACATTTGTACAAATTTTGGCGAAAACAAACCTTTATATGTAGTCAAATTTGGCATGAAATTTATCAGAGCAAAATTCTTCTAATCAGAACGAGACGAGAGTTCGTTCACTCGAATATCGATTAGGGTAACATTCGATCACGTGAATCATATTTAGATTAACTCCATTACTCGGTTAATAAATTATCAGCACGATTATTCGAGAAATTATCGCGAATAATTCGATTGTGGAGATAGACTAATAATTCCATTATTCAAACAATTGTATCACGCGAGGCAATGAATTAAAGAATGTTCTGTTATTTTTTCTCCACTTAATTTCCCATTCGTTTTAGTCATTTTTCAACCTCAATTAATCGTGAACGAGGTAATACTTCATGTAAATCATTGTTATCGCACGTCAATTATAAGAATGTTCAATGCTCCAATTAATCGACAAGTTTCATTGGAAATATATATGTATATGTATGTCAAAATTTGTAAATCAATGTAGGGGGCTCCTTCCCCCCACGATTATCGTATGTTAACTCGGTCGCAGGTATCCTCGTGTGTACATCACTAGCAGTTGAATGTTAATCGCTTAAGCTAATGAAAGGTATATATTATACATATTAAGAAGAAAAGAAGAAACAGTGGAGAAAATGCGAATAAAAAATTTCGTGATAAGACAAAAATCAGATCTGCATTAGGATACATTTAACTACGAATTTTGAAAATAATCGAACGCGACGGAACTGCGGAGAAATCTCCGCAAAGCGGGTTGCTGCGGCGCCTGCAACGGCGTCTTCCAAAGATTAAACACGCTCGTTGCGTTACATGTCACGTAATCGTCCAGAGATTTCTCGCTTCATAGAAATTTTCTTCATTCACGATTATCATTCTATTATTACATAAGATCGTACGGATCAACGTTTTGTCAGAGAAATTGTCGAAAATATTTTAGATTTTAGAACTAACAAAAACTAATAAAATTGCTTTACTCGTTTCATATGAATCATTGTCACTGGGGATTAAATATTTCATCTGCGATTAAGCTATACTATATCGTAAATTCTGTTATATATTCTTACGTATTTTAACTCTTGAAACTAATGAAATATACATAATGTGTACAAAATATGTGGTTCTAATAAAAAGAAGCCTAAAACTGTGGCTATAACTGTCTAAAGTTTTATCATGGAATATTTAAACATATTTTAGATCTCGAAGGTATCGAAAGAATCTCTAATAAATATGGATTATAGCAAGGCTATAACCATTTGATATATAACCAATCTTGGATGTATCATGAATTATTCGCGAGATTTTGAAATAGACGTTAAAAATATACGTGATTGTTGAGGAAACGATCAGTGTAAAATGTTCAGGAATTGCAGCCTCTACAATATGCCTGTGGTTTCCTAACAAATCAGATGTAAGCGTTCGAATGTTTAACACGAATAAGAGTGATTGTATCTCAATACATTGCCAAGTAAACAAGTTGTTCTTGAATAGCCATTTCCAGAATCTTCCACAAGAGAATTCTATGTTAGGAAATAGCTACATTCACATTTATCCAACTACATCGTGAAAGAACATTCCTTCGAACAAAAACACAATGTAAAATATTGCGAACAGCCTTACTAGATTTACACAAAGGACTGACAATGCGTTAAAAAATAATCACTTTAAAATCACCTTATGCGATTCATCGTAAAATTCTATTCTAACTTTCTGTGACTCTAAATTTTTAATTTCCATGTTTCCAAGTGTAAAATACATCCTACGTAATAATAAAACTTTGGTTTACTAGTCTCATCCTATATCTGAACTTTTCGCTATGCCATCTAAGATTACAAGATATAAATTAAAAAAGAAAAAAAAAAAATAAAGAGAGAGAAAGAGAGAAGGGGAAAGACGTTTTAACTAATTTGAAATTGCAGCATGCCCAGGGGAGCAACGAAAGATTCTGGTGTTGCTGAATCCAAAGTCAGGGCCAGGAAGGGGTCGAGAAATATTCCAGAAGAGGATCCATCCGATTCTATCGGAAGCCGAGAGGCTTTACGAGGTTCACATCAGCAAGTGTCCCAATTACGCTCGCGAGTTCGTGCGTACGAGGGACATCTATCAATGGAGCGGCCTGCTGATGGTCGGGGGCGATGGTATCGTGTTCGAGGTAGTGAATGGGCTTTTTCAGAGGCCCGATTGGGAGAAAACACTGAAGGAATTACCCCTTGGCGTGATACCCTGCGGTTCCGGTAATGGCCTGGCGAAATCCATCGCGTACGCTAAACAGTGAGTCCCTTTTAGGATCATCCAGGTCCGTGATTTATTTTATGTGTCTGGCTCGGTCGTTCCGAGGAAGTCGTTATTTCCGCCTGCAACCGGCTCGTTCGGTTTATTTGCATGCATGTAGAGAGGTGTTTTTGCAATTTTAACAAACAACGGTTTTGTACCTTTAATTGTGCTTCGATTCAAATTTTCCTGAAGATATTCGTCACTCGTGTGTAGCTTTCTTCCTTGTATTATTTTATACCCGTTTGATTATTTACTTGGTCATCATTCCTCCAACTTCCTTTGGTACAGTTCTGCAGTCCTGAAACAACAGAGATTTAGAGTGTTAGAATTTGGAAATGCTTGAAACATCTATTATTTAGTAATATAGTTCTGTGATATAAACGTGAGATTATTGAAAAGGCATTTCACATGAAGGTTGAATGGTCTCGCAGATAGATTGTTATAAAATATCGGGTCTCGTATAGGAGACGCAGAGTGGGTCCATTTAGAGAAAGCATTAGTTAGGCGAGTGCGTCGATCTGTACCATATTGGTTCATTGTATCGAATATTGTTGCAGTGCAAAGGGTTAATTATACAAATGTGCGCGACATAACATGTCTTAATAGCCATCACTGTTGCCAATTTATCCTGTAAATTGGTATGAATTTCATGACAGCTAAGTTGCAATCTACGAACTGTAACTTTATCACTGGTATATGCATTCTACTTTGTTTAGCCTGCGAATTTTAACTACGACTAACAATACTCGAAATGAAAATTTCTATTCGTTTATTATGCTTCTATACGTACACTGGGACACTCAAGGTCCATTGGCTTAAATTTATGATACGATGATTAACTCGATGCGTTGTAAATTTTCCAATCAACGTGGTTGCATTTTATCAATGGCTATGTTCGACGTCGGCGTGCAAGTGACAAAATTTCACGATTTTTATCGTTCGAGTGATAACTCCTTTAAGTACCGTAACCCACCAATAAATCGATCTAATTTTCATTTACCCATTAAAGTACCGGGTGCTACACGTGCCCCTACATTTTTCGACAAATTCGATTTACTTTCATTATCTTCGATTTAGCTTTTGCTATCTTTCTTACAAAAATTTTCTGATATTCTATATCATAATTTCAGAGTGGTATATAATTTGTTTATTAATAACAAAATAAAGGTAGCTATTAATAATAAATAAAAATCGCTCAATGAAAGAATATCGTGACATGAAATTGATATCTTTTCAAAGCACGTGTCGAGCTAGTCCAATAATTTTAAATTCTTATCCTCCTTTGATATAATAACAATAATCCAATCTATCACAAGTGTTCAATTATTTGTTCTTCGAAATATTATTAGATATCGACGTAATGTTTTTGTATTCTGCGATAGTTGAAGTGTCTGAGATTACTCAGCATCGAGTTAACAGAAAAATTACTAGCTTGATTTTTTGTAGATGTAGATTCCGTGAGTTTCATACTTATTTAAAGAATCATGCGGATTTTCCCGCTTGTTGATTGCTCACCTATTAACCCGGAAGTTTGTAGAACACATTACAAGTTTCAGTGCAAAACAGGTGACACGTAAATATCAGTTCCTGGAAAAAAGAATATTCATATACTTTCGTTACTTATCGTTATTACTGGTTATAACTGCACAGGTGTCACTCGTAGAATTTAGTTCGTTAAAAAGAAAAGGAAAGGAAAAATTCGAAATAAAATATTATACAAGTTATTCTCAAGTTAAATCCAGTTTTCCACCTGGAAGTAAATGAAAACGCAGTGTTAGTATTAAAATAATTTGTCCATAAAGAACGTAAAATATTTTTCTTTACATTTATCGTGCTTTTCTGCCCGTGATATTCATACGGAAACTTCGTTTCAAACCTAAGAATTCAAAATAGAAAATTCGAATTTAAAAATAATTTCTTAGGAAATGAAAATATTAGAAACGATAATTCGTTTGTAATATTTTTCACACTTTATTTACTTACTCATAAGAACGAGTATTTAAATTGTATAGCTATTATATGATAAAAGGGCACTCTACTCGTTACAAAATACTTATTATTTATGTTAGTTCGTCTTTGTGATAAGAGGGTACGCTGTTTGATAACTTGATATTATATTATAGTGTTTAATCTATAACATCTATTAGGTAATTATAGAAATATGGTAATCAAAACTGCTCTATCGACCTCAGTTTTCGAAAGTTGCGAGTTTTTCTAAAAAGACATAATTTATGAAGAAAGAAAAGTGTGTCAAATAAATAAAAAGACACAAGGCTAAAAAAGAAATATCATGTTAAAGATAAGAAGATTAGGGGCTTTATTCTCACCTTAAAAGTTAGATAAAAGTTAGGTGACAATTTCGATTACGGATTCATTCTAAAGAATGTAAACTCTACAAGAATTACCTAATGGATAGTACTGATTAAAATTCATGGTTTACACTGTAATTAGTTAGTATCGAATGATGCTAGATTTCTTATGTAACCCGAGGAAACGCTACGATACCAGCGCGAAACTAAAAGGCTTCTTAATCAGGCATGTTTAATGCTAATATGTTTTGATATCTCCTGCCACCGCGTATAGTGTCTCTTTTAATTCATAATTAAGATTGTATCGTATTACACGAAGTGAAACGATACATAACAAGGAACAGAGAAGAAAAATTCACGATTCGGATAATACGTGAAACACGCACGATTGAGAAAATTTTTAACATGGAATATCTGGCTCCAAGCGTATTTGTCGTTTCGAGCAAGCTTGTTGGTGAGGTCGTGCACAACAAGCCGATCATTATACCGGCTACGCGTGTCCTCAATTTTTGTTCAAACTTTATTCTTTAGCCGCAACGACAGATAATAGCGTTGTAAATAACCTTGCTTAATTTCGTTCCATATCGACGTCAGTGAACACGTTTTTTGGTTTTCTGACGTCACTTTTCTGGGTAGTATTATGCTTTATTTTACGAGACATTCGAAAATAATGTAAATGTTGTAATATTTATGTGTGTGTGTTTTTCTTTTTTTTTTTTTTTATTTTTTTTAATATCTAAAATTTTAATGAGAGTTTTGTATACAAATTTTGAATTTTTTTTCCATATACGGATGATGTGGAGCTCACGTGAAGAATAAATAGAAGTTATCGCGATGAAGAAAGTTGGAACTAAACGTAAGGAGCTGTAGTTGAGATTTTCCTGCGTTTCCTGTTTAAAGTAATTTGATATCGATTTTACATTGAGAACTGAAAGGCAATTAGATGAAACGCGACGATAACGCTGCAGGTACTTATTTAAATTCGTATCCAGCGAAATAAACAATTGCAAAGAATTGTCATTGTCAGAAAAATGTAGCAATCGTGGAATAATGACTGAAAAAAGGTTCGATTTTCTTTGTGCGATAGTCAGACGAGGTAGTCGATTATTTTTCTCTCATGGTCACTTGTGCGTTGCTATCGATTCCTGATGACGAATAGCAAACAAAGGCTTTTGCAAAACATTTCAAATACGAAAATGAAAATAAAGAAGGCAATGATACTTTTCTTTTTAACTACTTCACAGAACAGAATTTAAATTTAACGAAAGCTATAAATATTTTATAAATCTAATAATAAAATTAATTAAGAACACTATAAGAAAAAAGAGGAACACAAATTAGTATTTTGCAAAATAATAAATATCGATAGCTTTGTCAATATTATGGTGAAATCATTATGTATTTAATAACATCACTATGTTGTGAACTTATTACATATTTGTTCAAAGAGATAGCTAATGTTGAATGAACGTATACCTTAAATAAACTTCGAAGGTTTCTGCTTCTTTTGCCAACATTGTTAATTCTGATCAACGAAATACGTATAAACAATTACGTTAATGATTTAATTACAAAGACAAAGAAAAATTTCTTTTCAACGAAATAACTTGCCTTGTCATCGTCGTGTGTGGTACATGTATCCTATGAGATCATTCAACCTTCGTATCTAACATTTATCCTATCTTATAAGATTATTATTTGTCGTACCTGTCATATTTTTTTAGAAATACGAGAAGTATCAAATTACATTCTACGAGACAAACTAGAGCAACTTAATTGCAATTTTTAATTACTCACACACTTTTCATCTTTTTACAACTTTCGATTTCTCCATGTTCAGTTACTCAGTCTTATTTCTAGATAAATTTCCATTCGATTTATTTGAACAATAATCGATGCTAACGATATTAAAAAACAGAGAAAGAAATCATATTAAATTCTGTTTTAGAGAGCCGTACGACTATAATCCGCTGCTCGTCAGCGCACTGTCAGTGGTGAAGTTCAAGAAAGCTCAGATGGACTTGGTACGCGTGGAGACCAGAAACCAGATTCTGTTTTCATTTTTATCGGTCGGCTGGGGTTTACTTGCCGACATTGACATTGAAAGCGAACGTCTCCGAGCGATAGGTGGTCAGAGATTCACCGTGTGGACTATTGCACGCCTGATAGGCTTGAGAACGTACAAAGGAAAGGTGTCTTATTTACCTTGCGATAAAGTGCCGTCCGTTGAGAATTTGGGTAATAGCAAGGCCTACAACGAGTATGCTAAGGAAGCGCAGATATCGCATTCAAGAAGTTGCGGGGACGATTTAGATCGGTACGTTACCGTCTTATCAGGCGTTATCTGAGATATTTGCATGTCTACGATGTCTCATAATCTTGATGGCTCGTGTTTGAAATAAGTAGCGATATCATGTAGGACATTGAAGGAATGGTTTTTTTATTTTTTCAATGTTATATTATAATTTCTTATATCATATTATATCAGTTCTGCATTAAGCGAGGTTGATTTTTGTATTCTATAAAAGTTATAAGTTAGTGACTTTAGCATTTTATTTGTGAGTTACCTGTTTTGTAACATACCACCCGGTATAAGCATTCCTTTCTTATAAAATAAGTCTTATCGTGCCGAAAAAAGAACTGCCACAAATGTTCGTAAAATACATACACAAGGCTGGATAAAAATATATATGTCAGTCTGGTGTTTTGGTGAAATCGTGCTGGGATTTAAAATAACAAAGAATATATTTTGCCCGAAGTTCCATTTGCTTTCGAAATTTATTCTTAATAAATTTCTTAAAATATGTATCAAAAACATGCATTTGAATTCCAAGAATTTTATTTTCGATCTGCATTCTCCAGTAAACAAATCTCTTATGGCTTTGTGATTTTTAGATTACAAAGTAACAGATACATTTTCTGAAACCGAAAAATAATTAATTTTTTTAAAGGCTGCAGACATAAATTTAATTTTTTGCGAATGTTAGTGGCAAAATAAATAAAAACTATAATCGAGAAAATTCTGTGAAAATTCTGCGTACCCACATTTAGTATTAACGTTTAATGCTATCATCAGACATCTTTACTATTTAAAATGAATTGTCACGTAGATAGAAATAAAATTGAAACATGCAGTTCTTTCTAAAGTATTATTCGCCGTATGTCAGATACAGCAAAATCAGCGAATCGAAGAGCTTCCACGATGCACTCGATGGAGACCCTACTTTGGATGGGTCGTTTGATAGTTACGATGATAATGAAATAATAAACGAAAGTATCACTCTGGAAACGGAAGCCGAGAGAAGGCAGAGGCTAGACAGCTTCTATTCTGCAACCTCCGTGAAATCAACTTACTTTAGTACGGGTTCAATTTCTAGCTACCATAGCATCGACGAGCCAAATAACGATGAAATTGGTAAGCTTTTAATTCGTACGATAATAAATCTCGATGAAACGATTTCCTTATTGTGCTTTATTAAATGGATCTATACCTTATCTACTTTAATGTCTATGCTTGTAATCGTTCTACGTATGTTTAGATGAGTTATTAAAAATGAAATATAACACACGGTGAATAGATAGATCAGTTCAATAAAGCATTTGGATTTGAGTTTAGATTTAAGTTGAAATTTAATTTAAATTATTCTAAAGCCACTATCATTACATATCTTGCTAAAATAATAATCTGTGTATAATTAAGATGTAGAAAGCAACAGTAGTCACGTTATGTACGGACCATCATCGAGGCTGCCTGCTCTAACTTCGGAAGTGTCAAGTTCTTGGACTCAAATTCAGGGTAAGATAGATAATAGTACAAGCATCTAAATAAAAAGTTACACGAATGATTTTACGTAATTTAGTAACATATTCGATCATGTAAAAGTCTTTGGCTATATTAGTATAGCAAGGACAGCTCATTCCTTATTAGCAATAATTAGAATCTAATACTTAATGTATATGAAATCAGATCATCGTTCAAACAATAATCAGTTTATCACTTAATGGTCTGTATGCATCTTGCGCCTTCTTACATGTTAATGCTAAGCTTTGTCTACCGCGATACTAAATTTAGTAATGCTGTTACGTTAACTTCCCGTTGAAAATAACAAGGACAAATGTTGTTACAAGTCGTATTACTTATCATGGCCCATATTTGTACATAGATACGATCTGTCTGTAAGGCCATGAAAATGTATATAAACATAAATGGAACACGATAAAGCACTAAGAGTAATTGCAAACAAATGTATCAGCATTATCATTCAATAAGGTTTCCATTTGAAAATTATGAAAAAGAATTTTTCTTTTCTACTTTGGTCTATTTCGTTTCATTTTCTAATTTATATGATGTTACAGTAAAGTATTATCTTAAGTATAAATAGAATGAAAATGGAATGTCGATTATTATTTAATGAAATTGTGTGCTTCGAATTTCAGGAGAATTTGTAATGGTTCACGCGGCATATCAGTCACATTTGGGCCAAGATTATTTCTTTGCACCCCGTGCCAAATTGGCGGACGGTATTATTTGGCTCATGATAGTGAAAGCCGGAATTACTCGAGCCAATTTGCTCCAGGTAAATAGTCCAATTAGAAACAATATTTCCGGTTTCTAATTCGTTATCAAGCAAGTGAGACGTTTTTATTGATGTTTATTCTTAAACGATTATTCCTTATTTATCTATAAAATAATTTAACCTTTTGTAATCTACTTATTTCAGGAAATAAATTATCTATAAAATGGATTTATTTTCAATGAAAAAGATTATAAAATAAATTTGAAATATTTCAAGTAAACTTAAGTAAAATGAAAAATGAATAAACCATGAATTTAATAATAGAAAAATACAGGGATATCCAGGAATATCTTTTATACAAAAGATACGAATCCATTTATATTATTTCTTTCACAGTTTATGACTATTATGGTTTTACATTATCATAAAAGTATACTTGAAATAAGTTACCAATAGGTCTGCGCTTTTGGTATTCAATTATATTTCACAACTGTATGGTTTGGCGGCGGTTCATTGGAAACCGAGAACACTTTTGCAATTCAAATATATTTATAAGCTTTCTCAGCAATATAACATGATTATGATTTGAAATAGGCTTTAAAAATACATGGCCCTTAATAAATAAACGATAAGTGAATGAAACAGACTTACGCGCTAATCACGTGTTTGAACTGTTTTAAAATCTTATCACGCTGTTATTAACCAGCAGATTTAAACAATTAGGCGTAGACATATGTTAAAACATATCTTGTATTAATAAAGCTTGTATCACAAAGGGTTAAACAATTTTATTAGAAAAACTTTAAGTAAATGTATAATAAATTCAAGTTATTCTAATATAAGTAAGGAAAGTAAATTTTGATAATGAAATATTATAGTTTAAGTAAAGTTAAATTAAATGTAAAACTAATTCAAGATTTTACAAATTATTTTAAGAATTATTTACCGTATTTTTTAGTTCCTGTTGGGTTTAAGTAGTGGTACTCACTTAACACGTTCTGGCATTGATATGATACCAGTAAAGGCGTTTCGAATAGAACCAGAGGAAGGAGCAAACGGCTACATTACAGTGGATGGAGAAAGAGTAGATTATGGACCCTTACAAGCTGAAATATTTCCATCCTTAGCAACGGTAATGTCCCCTTGATACAAATTAGCATTACTCTTCGTATGGAGCTAGCAATGGAAATCAAATGGTACAATCGTAGAACCTTAAGTTCAATAAGGTATATGTTATGGTAGCATGGTCTTGGTGACAATACTGTATTAATATGTATATTCGCATTCGCGATACGTAAGTACGATTTAGCTCAGAAAATTGCGGTAGGTGTACATTCTAGACTGTGAAGTTAAATCATTCCATCAGATGTATACGAATACATATGAATTAACGAGATCAATGCAGTCACAGTTTGTATAAGCTCAATTTGTTATTTCATAGAGATTTATTATTTGTGCGGGATAATCCGATTCAGTTATTCGAAATTTTGCAGGCGTGATTTATGCGAGAAAATTAAATATGTCACACAGAATGTGGATTTAAAGTCTTATCTTTCGCAAAATAATTTACATTTATTTACAATTTATTTATACAATTTTAATTTACTTAGTTATTTCGAAACAATTATTCGAAGTGATTTATGCTGATGATGTCACACTGTTGTGTCACCGTATTGAATGTGATAAAATTTATGTATTTCTATTGCATTTTTAATTACATTCTGAATTGTATTTTATAAATAAAATTTGATCAGATTTGCATTTAATGAAAATTAAAATCTGAAAAATTTATATAATTGATCTACCATAACTTAAAAACAAAATGTTTATTAAATTATTTTCGAGTTGATCGATTAAAATGTATTTGATTATTTCACATTCCTTTGTACATCTACAAACTATGTATTATGTGTTATAGTATATTAAGAATATAGGTTCTGCAAAATTTTATTTAATCAGATGTTTTCTTAATTGTAAAGTGTATGGTGCATCTGGAAACTTTCGAAAATGGTCACTGAATCGTCCCGTATAATATGGTTCAATAGTGCTGGTTAACTAGTGATTTTAATTCCATTCGTTAGCCTAAATCGTACCTTTTTGGACTGTTTCCTATATGACGCACAATAGTGTAACTTTAAAATATTCCACTGGCTTTGAGCTAGTTAGCAAGTACTATTGTTAAGCTTGATAGCGTACTGATAAAACAATATACACTTAATCCTCGATTTACGCAGCAGACTGGTGATGAACGATAATTTACTTTTGTATTTATTGCAACTTCTACAACTTGTAAATAATAGACAGTAGAATCTCTATTATCCGAATATATAAATAACTAATAATTCTTTGTAAAATAAAGTGTTCAATCCATTTTCTTTTACAGGTTGTGAATCATACAAAGGAATATGTTTATACACATACTAATACAATATTCTATATTATCGTTATATTTCAGACATAATAGAACTTAAAAGGAAACAATATATTTTTATAAAAACACAGCTTAAACAATGATGTACCCATACATTAAATAATTCGGATAATAAAGAATTTTCTGTATGATAAAATTTTAAAAACAAAGTATTATTTTATACTTTTTTAATTTGTTAGTAACAAAATTTTGTTAAACGTAAACTAACTTGAGAATTTCGAGACCTTTTATGCTCATTATTTCTTTTTTTACTTAGTTCTTATTAACATATTTCATGACAAAAAGAACACTTCAATAGACTGTATTAAATACTTTTAAATAATTGTTTGCATTCTTTTTACTCATGTTAACATCATAAAAATAGCACTAAGTATCATTAAGTAACTCGATGATTAAGTGTATTTTTCTCTTCGTTATTTACCAAAAAATACCATTAAAATTCAGTAAGAATTAACGACCCCACTTTCGTTCAATTCTTGTTCATTATTACACTAATTATATGTGCACATATATGCTGTATCTTTTGAATGATTGTATAGCATTTATATGTCGTGGCTTCCACTATAAGCACAGAAGAATTAATTCGATCTTCTCGATCGACTTTATATAAAAATCCCGATTTTTTTAATTTATATGCATTTTATCAGGTTATTATTGTTACCCGGTCTAAATATCGGCGATACAGTATTGATTTAATCGCGATAGTGCTCAAATCTTGTATATTTAGGCGCATGAGAATAATGTCAGTCTTTCGGTATAACGTATATACAGTTACTGTTTTTTGGTCTTACACTCACTCAGTATTTTTTCGAAATACTATTAGCCACTATTTCTCCGATGTAAGAACATATCATGTTAATTAACGGAAAATATGCAAAACGCGTAGAATGTCATATCTGATTCATAAGCGCGCGATTGTTAAGATAAAAAAAAAGAAAAGAAAACGTCGGGGGAACGCCAGGGAAACATTTGATATTGTGTATTAAAGTTGAAACTTCGAAACGATATTAGAATAATAAAGAAAATCGTGTATTTATCTTGCAAATTATTATAGTCGCGCTTTAATATCGAAATGAAAAGGTTTACTTATTGTAAATGAATTTGTCAACGTTTTTCTAGTTGCTAAAGACATTTTTAAAAGAGCAATATAAAAAATTTAATGCATATTGCGATTATAATTTGTATAAATTGTATTGTTTTATAGTTATGGTGTTGTAAATTTGTGCCAAGAGATATGTAAAGATAATTAAATCCTTGACTTACCATTTAAGTTCCGATGGCGCGTGCCATAGTCACCAGCAAGGTCAGTTACACGTCGAGCTATTTCGTGCGAACGCGGCCAAGAATAACACGTAACTGAGACAAAGACATCGGCGAATATTAACCACAAGCCTGACCTATTATGTTTACATTAGGCCCTATCTACAAACCACAGCACTTACTAGTGATACTTGTGTTTGACTCGATCTCCTTACCCCGAGTCTCATATAATATTGTAGTCGAAGAAATTAAGGACTAAGTAGAATTGCTCGAGATGATGTTTTTCTCTTTTTCTATTCTTTTGAGGTTGCTATTATTCTGTCTTTAGTTCCGTGCCAAATCCTTCGTTCGTACCTGTGTTATATATACCAAGGATCGCCATGTACATTCGTATATAGTTCAAGGGATTAAATTTATCAAGAAGCAAAGAAACCGATCATATACATTTATTGTTTTAATTATTGTTATACTATACACTACCGATGTGTTTATAAATTAACCTATCTTTACAAATTAGAGAAATACAATAATTTGATTCAGAAAAATGACAAAAAAAAGTGATAATAAAGAATTATATTAGAATAATCCCATTTATTTTCTTAAGACTATCAATTTCTCTTTTTAGCATAAAAAACAAATAAAATTTACTACTACGTAAATAAATTATGTATAGGAAATATAAAATCAATCTGTATACGGGTTTATACCATATATTTTAATTTAAAGCAATAATAGAAACTAGTACTAACTAATTTTATAAAAATAATTCAATGGCACGCTTGTACTAAAAAATTATCATTTATAATTACAAACACCTTTATTTTTACTATAAACAGTTCTATTTAATCTTTTCTAGTCACATAACGCTTTTGAATGTCCTTTAACCTTATCAGAAACCACTTCTAGGATATATATAACAAAAGATATATTTTAACCAATAAACAAATTTCCCGTTATTTGAAACTAATTTCCTACGATATAAAAATGTATAATAAACTTCTCATTCTAGTAAAAATTAATGAATATTGTTACAAATGAGATATCTAATTAGTTTCGAAAATAGGTACCAATATTTAAAGGCTTAAAAACTGTTGTAAATATTGAAAAATTAATTTCGAAAAATTGATAATCAAAATTTTAATAATAATTATAATTATTAACGTTTTGTAAAAATGTGACTAGTAAGGATTTATACAACCGAAATATAAGATTTTAAATGGCGCTTTTGATCGATGTTTGTCCAAAAATTTCTAATTACATACCTATATGAAATTTTGCTAAATTTCTATGGCCCCATTATAATTTTCATTCATGTTAATTTGCCTTTATGTATTATCTTGTCATTAATAAGACGAATAAGGGTGTCATTGTAAAAGAAAGCGCTAAATTTTCGTATAGTGTTAAAGAAATACTATATTACCGCTCAAAATGAGAAAATATTATTTATTATCGATAAAATCAATACATATGTGTAATATTAATTTTTGTTATCCCGCAATTTTTCTGTGGAACGATCGTTAATGTTTTTGAGAATAATGAAAGTTATATAGTAGTATGATAGAGAATATAGGTGGTAATAAATTTCTTTACGTAAAATCATTATCATCTCGTGACAATTAAAACCATTTTATAAATGTTATTTCCGTGTCTGGAAATTGTATATTTATAATTAGAAGCGAATAAGATATTGGAGTATACTAATATAAATGAATTACAGTGAGTTATCTTTATAATTTTGTGAGTATTATAAAAGTTGCAAGCCAAAAAATTTCATATTCAGATATATTTTAAATTTTATAATAATAGGACAATGATTAATCACAAGTTATTTAAACTTTTTATATAAAATCATTTGTTTTGCATAATACTTATAAATGAAAAGCTCACCTTTCAGACAATATAAATGTAACAATAATAAATACATAGAAGGATATCAACAGGGTGACAAGATTACAAATACAAAATATATTTTAAGTTTATTTATTTATATTAACATTTATATAAGGAAAGTCACAGAATTACTTTAATTTCTACCAAATAAAACAAGTCTCTTTTAATCTTATATAACGACAACTTTTTTTTAGTGCTATTCACCATCATATTTGAATACAATCACTACATAAACAAAAAGAAAAGAAAAAACTGAATATCACACTATAAAAAAAAATAAAAATTCTCTTTAACATACCTGCTTAAAGTAGTAGATATATAAGGAAAGTTACATGAGCATAAGTTCTTATGAAATAAGATGTTTTTTTATTTAAAGATTTGTTATAGATACTGCTAACAGGAAAATTACCTATTTACAGTTCATATATAAAGTAGTTACATAAATTGTTTACACATTATATAAACATATAGATAGACAGTATAAACATGATCTTTCACGATTGTCATTCCTATACTTAAAGAAGTATCGCGATCATAAACTGTACTTCTATTATAGCAAAACTGATGTAGTGATGTGTCTAAAGTTTAAATTTTAAAAATACACTTAAAAAGTGATACTAATCTAATCATTACTCTGTACCATATGCCTGATAGAGTTTACTCATTTTATATTAAATTTCAAAACTACATCAATTTCTATTATTCTTCTTAATATCGTATAAGAATAAAAAGTAGAATACCACCCAAGCAAAATTTGATTTGATTAAATTTTATTCAACATTATTTAGATGAATACTTTGTAATTTAATTATGTTCAATGTTGACCATTAAAAATTTCATTCATTTCTAATTAACAATATTAATATAAAAGATATATTTGCAAGGTAAATGCAAAAAGTTTGAATTCCATATAATTTGTTTTCCGGTTCTCACGTTTATATAGTATTAATAATTACTATTGAGGCTGCAAAAAGAGTGAAATGTAATTATAATGAAGTAGATATAATGATGTGATAATAATAATATTCAACAAAGCTAATACAGTTAAAACTCATAAATTATTTTAAATTATTTTAAAATATGATCCACGCATAAAATAACATATACAATATTTTATATATGTATAAATCATAAAATATTTTTAAAAGATATGCTAGTCTATGATTCTTTACAATCGGAGTTTTTCTTATAAATGACATTAAAAAATGTATTTTGTTGGTCAATTAGAAATATTGATCTAAAATTTGAAAAATATTAAATTTTCCAAAACAATTTAATTTCGAGACGGAAATGTAAGGTATATATTACACTTTACAGTCTACCTTTAAATCTTTATTACTTTGTATTATTTGGAAATTTAAAAAAAGGATAAAAGTCTTAATATTATTGAAAAATTCAGTAGTGTAAGAAATGAATATAAAAAAATAGTAACAAATAAAAAACTTTACAATAAACGTAAAATAGTGCATGTATAAATTTGTTTTATAAAATTAAATAGAAATTAAAATAAAATTTCTTATTTCAAAATTTTCAATGTTTAGAAAAATAAATTTATTGTGATTCTATTTCATAAATATCTGTAATAAAATGATGACTTTTATTTTTACACTCTATTTGCAGCTTTATGAAATTAATAAAAGTAACGTAAAAAAAAATGCAGTAAAAATTTAACATAAATATCATTTTCTTACTACCATACGATTTACATCATTTGTGAACATGCATTATATTTCAAAAATTATTGTTTATAGTTGCTTAACCCTTATTATTTAAATGAATAACACTATACATTGGTGTTAGTTGAATGAAGAAGTAAAGAGGGTACTTAATTCTCATGCTAATGTACTAATAGAATAATTAACTAAAATTCATAATGATCCATATTTCTTATAATTTGTAAATAAACATATTTGATTTAATGACATTGTAATATATTACAATCTGATTTTTGTACTACATAGGATTCACATTAACTTTTATAGAAACAACTAAATCAAAATAACGTTCACTAAAAAACTTGGAAAAATAACAGTTAAAAACCAAAGTGGAATTTTTAAAATGTGTTTCACAAAATATTTATGACTTATCTTAAAATTGAGCTGTTTTTTAACTCATAAAGCTACAATTTGTTAAATGTTTTTTTTTAATGAGAAATTTTCTATTGTATCATCTTGACTACACAGTGTTAAGCCATAATAACAAACAAATATAATTTGACTACAAGTAAAAAGAAATATTTCTTTTAGTTATTCAAGTCAAAATTAAAATAACGAAGGACGTAAAAATACCGTGAATAAATGACGATAAATGGTCCTATATAATAGTTCTTAATTCGCGATACTTCACTCCATAAATTTAACATTCGGACTGTTTGAATTATAGTTGTAACACTGTACATCAAAACTTTATTATTATCTTGCACACTTACATAAATTAAAAAAGAGACTTTTACCATGAATTAAGTAATTAAAAAAAAGAGAATTGAACTTGTTATGGCATAACTGTAAATTTAACATATGGTGTAGATCTCTCCTTCAGTTCACACCATATCCAATTAATAGTCTGTTAAAGCAAATAAATGATTACTGTGTTATAGATAAAGCATCTAAATTAGCCAACAAATCCTTTACATCATCCTGAACTTGAGCAGGGGTATTTGATAAAGATAAACGCGAACACAAAGTGTTTAAAGTTTCCATCTTCGAATGGGTATCTTTAAGTTTTTGCAAATATGCAAACAACATATTAACTATGTTTTGAACTTCTTCTTTGATTTTCAACATGTCTTCTCCTCTATAGTTTCGTAATAATTTTAATTTTGTCTGTGCTAAATGTAATGGATTATAACCATATTGACCTAAGCATAAAGGATCTGTTCCCGCATTTAAAAGAAGTGTAACCACAGATATTTTACTTGTCACAGCTGCTAAATGTAATGGTGTATTACCTACAGAATCACGAAGATTAGGATCTGCACCATGTTCCAATAATAAACGAACCATTTCTGTATAACCTCTGTAAAAAAATGTATATTATATCACACTGATATTATATTCAATAAATAGCAATAAATACTGCATTTAAAAATTAAAATATTTTATGATATTTAATAAATTTAATAATATTTAGTAATAGATTACAATATATTTAATAATTAACTAATTTGATATTGTTAGTTAACTAAATTATAGTTCTTAAAATACAATTTATGTTAACATTTATACACTATATAAGTAATACAACATACAAAATAATTAACAACTCTTATATTATGTTCTACAAATAAAATTGTTGTAGAAACTAATAAATTAATTTTGAATATGTTAGTTAAATTTACCTGCAAGAGGCAAGATGAAGAGGAGTTCTTCCTTGTATGTCACAAGTATTAGGTGATACACCAGAATTTAAAAGACGTCTCATAGCAATAGTGTTATTTGTTGCTGCTGCAATTCTCATTCTATGCTCACTGACACAAGTACGTATAGGATCAAAATGACGATTTCTACGTGTTGCATTGATAAATTTTATTTTTCTACACAAAACATAGTCTAAAAAATGTAAAGAAAATATTATTAAATGGCATTATACCTTGCCAAAATATAAAATTCAATGATTTTAAATAATACTTGAACAATAACTATACAATTACAAACATTATTTCATATAATTCTACACAAATTAACTTTCTTTAAACATAATTAAATATAATAAAATATAATATAATTTAAAAAGATTAATGAACATAACTTACAACCTAATAATTTTCTTCTTGTTGATGTTCCAAAAGAATTTTTAATCTTAATCTCTAAAATCTGCAACAAATTATCTTTACTGATATATTTTGAACAGTACAGTATAATTACTTCAAAAATTGTTCATAATATTTATTTAATAATAAGAATCAACTGTTATTATATCAATCAGCTGTTATAATTAATGTAATCTTTTTTAGATAAAAAAATATTTTACACAACAGTATTAAATCGATTGAAATGAGTTAATTAGAAATAATCGAAATTAATCATTAAAATCTAAAGGTATAGAAAAATAACATTTTACATAAAAATAAAATAATACGTACATTTGGAGATATATTGGAACATGATCTTGAACTACTTGTCGGTATAGAATATTGAATGTCACTATGTACGTTTGTTAAAGAAACAGATGAGTCTGAATCAAATGTAGTGTGGACACCCGTTTCTTGTATTTCATTCTGATTATTGACTATTACTGCAGTAGAAGAACTGACATTATTCATTTCTTCTATTGCTACATCTTCGTTTTGAGCAATGGAACTATCATCTGAGTTGTTACTTGTTTCAATTCCTGAGTCCACGGATGTCATTTTACATTGAAATGTTCGACAACGTTTTAGACACAAAACGCTTCTCCTTGCAAACACAAATTATACTGCTTACATACATACCATGACTGCCTGCACAAAAATAATAACAGTTATGAAGTTTGCCAATGAATAGAACCAGCTCTTCATTGCCACCTTTACAAATTTTCCTAATCGTGAGATAATATAAATCTATCATAAGATAAAATATTTAGCAAAAATATAAACCACCGTTAAACCGTTTGTTTTCCAAATACAAATATAATACTTCTATGTAAAAAAATTTGAAAATATCACTTAAATTAATGTATTCGATTACAATAAAATTTGTTTAAATAACAATAGTAATTTATAACTACAAATATATCTGTTTTAAATAAATCGAAAAAAATAATCTTATTAATGTAAAATTTCAGAGAAACAATTTTTTAAGGAGGAATAGTAATTTTTTCTTGACATGATTTGAAAACAAAAATATATTCCTATTTTATAACAGTAGTTTATACATTTTATTTTTAATTATATTAAAGATTTTCCGCATTCGTGAAAAATTTTCGATATGTACATAATAAAAGAAATATTTATGTATTTGAAATTTATTTAAGAAATAATTCTTAAATTTTTCCAGAATTAGGAATGAAATATAAATTAAATGTAATAATAAAGAAAGTAGCTACATTTATACAAAAGTTGTTATTAATTTATCTCGTTAATTCACATAATATCAAAATATAAATATTACGCGTGATGTATTTGCTTCTAATCTGTCCTATTAGTATGTATTCTATGGTTGATATGTATTTATACCTACTTTCACAAAATATCAGAAGCGTTTTCTAGAAATTTAATTGAAATAAAATGTTGTCATTTACGACTAATACAATATTTCGCTTAGGACAATCTACAAGTTAGTATCCAAATAGTGTTTCAAATTTTACGAGTAATTGTCTATAATTATTAATTCACAGTGTCACCATAAAAAATTACTTTTTTGTGCTTAATGCAAAAGTTATTTATATATGAGAAAAGTGAATAAAGATATGAAATGTTACATAAAGACTACGCGTATTCTGTTGGAAATATTATTATGCTATTAAAGTACTTATACATTAATAAAAATGGTTTCAAAATATTAATCATATTTTTATACTTTTTAGATGTAGTTATTCATATCAATAAATTTCACACATGTTTTACTGTATATTTAGATCAGAGACGGAGAGAGATGTAAGAAAAAATTTTATGAAATATAAATTCATAGTATAGATTGAAATAAAAATATCAACTAATTTAACATTTACAGAAAAGGATTAATAGCAAATCCAAATAAACATGGACCATTGGTTACTTTACCTGATTATTCTTTTAAAGATAACAGACCTACTGCATATGGTTCAAGACAATTATATCGTATACAAAAGCATCAAAATTATGTGGTATTTTTCTAAATAAGATGTTTTAAAAATATTTGAAGTATAATACCCGAATTAATGATATGTTTGATTTACAGAAAAGAATTCTTCAACTAGTTAAAGAAGTTGATTATGCAGTTGAAAGGCACGCTAAATTAAAAATGACAGAAAAAGAAGAACAACAAAAACTTTTAGAAAATGTATTAAAACCTAAAGGACAAGAATTAATCACTAGTAATTAATATTTTTGAATGTAATAATTTGTAAATACATATAAAAATAAAAGGATATTTCTCACTTATATCAAATATATTAATATTATTTTATTACTATTACTTAACTATTTATTAGAATGATGAAGCAAACAAATTTCTTTTTTAATAATACAATAATATATTTAAAATCTACAAATATAAGTTTAGTTGACTTGGTAATCCATTGGTAATTTTATAAGTCGTGGTATTTTATTTCTTTCCTCTTCTGGAATATCACACAATCTGGTTGGAACAGGACGTAATTGTTTAATTTGATTACTAACATTTTCTAACATTTCTTTGGGAACATTTGCATCAGGAAAAATGTGTAACTTTTCCATAAGATATCGCCTTTGTAGATTTCCAACCATTGATCTATAAACTGCTTTCTTAACAATCTGTATATAAATAAATAAAATATGTAAAATAATAATTGTATATTAATATTAAAATATATTAGTACTATACTTGAAATTGATAATTACCAAAGTAGGATTTTTACTATGTAATTCCCATGCAAGTGTCCAAGAAGCACCACCACTATATCCAGTATGATGAAAGTATACTCGTTTTTGCCATTCATCCCCACGCAATGCAATATCTTTGCTGTTTATGACTATTACGTGATCACCACACTTACCTGTATAACAATTAAGTGGAAATGTTAATAGGTAGAATATCATGTAATGTTAAATTCTGTTTCAGGATATTATTTATGTTGATTTATAACAAGTATTATAATAATATATTTAATATATTTGTAACCAATATTATAATAATGTATTTAATACATATACATTATATAATGTGTATATTTATTTTTACTTACTTAATGGATGATATATTGGTTTATATGTTCCCATAAGATACTGTTTTATCAAAAGAGCACTTTTATATGGATCTTGCCAAGTTGCATCAAAAAGATGCCAAACAGTTGTAAAAGTACCCCAATGCTATAAATAAATAGATCTTAACAATTACATGTATAAACAAAAACAAAAATAACAGGTGTCAAATTAATTTATTACGAAAATTTAATTAACATAATTTAAAAATATAATATAAAAATATCCTAAATCAAATTAACAACAATTTTTAAAAAGATATATTGTAATTTACTAAACTAAATGTTTTATGAAAGTACGAACAATGAAATTATTCAAATTATTTATTCTGTAAATAAACTATTTATAAATATATAAAATAAATAAAACAAAAAATAATAGTAGAATTAACGATGTAATGATAAAAAGATGTGAACTATAAAATTATTAAAAAATACAAACTTCTGCTTGACGAAGAAGAGACATGGTAATGTATGTACAAAATTTAATCGTAATATATGAAAAGTAACATATATACTTAATTTCTGTTAAGCACTTTACTATACTCTTAAGGTTAAGTTCTCATATCTAGAATAGGATCTTTCAATGAAATTTTTCTTAATGTTGGTCACATTGCATGGAAGTAGTGTCTGACAAGACTACACCCGTTAAAAATTGGTAATTGTTAACTTTATAAGCTTTTTATATATTTAATAATATACACAATATTTTTATTGTTAGCCATTAGTTGAATAAATATAACTTTTTAATATTTCAAAATCAAATTATAAAAGTTCTAAAAATGTATTTAGAGGAAAGTTAATTAGTAATAATAATATAATAATAACATACATTTTGAGAAATATTGTAACATAATTTTGAACCATTTCTCGGTATGAAATATTGAATATTATCATGTACGTTTGTTAAAGAAACAGGCGAGTCTAAATTAAATTTACAAGGAAAGTGCAAGTCCTTCGGGTCACCGATTTAGTTGATACCTTTGATACTCTGCAGGTTTGTAGATATCGTCATGCAGTTTAAGAAAATATATCATTATAGCGGCAACTACTCAATAGTATTTGAGATATTTACGATTAAAGTTTCATTACTTTCCTAATTATAGATTTATTTCCATCATTTTACAAGTACAGTCGTGGCCTAAAAGCGATAGATGAATATTCCTGTGGTAATGGACCGTGGTTCGATTCTCGTCCCATAGTTGGTAGTTTTTTAATCTATTTCTAATAGTGTTCATTTTTCGTCTATGAAAAAATTGTAAATAAAATTTCTTAATAAAATAATTTATTTTTACGCTTTCTGAAGCTAGTGTACAATTATTACAAAATAATAAGAATATTATGCAAGAAAAATACTTTTCTATAGCAATCTTATTTACTACAGGAAATACAAAACCTATCACTCATGTAAGTATTAATTATTAAATTAAACATCCTATAAGAATGTTGCCTATAATTCCAACTTTGCTGTGCAGCTATAAATTTTCATGAATTAATTACAGAAACTTGCAATTTAATAATTTTCTATTGTCGAATTGATATCTGGTAGCCAGTTCGAATAAAAATTTTACCGCCTGCGATCAGCGCCATCAATGATTTTGGAATAGTTTCTCAAATAGTTTACTAACTCTGGTTATGTGCACCTAATATATTTAAATTTATTTTAATAAATAAAATCATAAAGTTTTCTACATTCTTTAATAAATTCAGCCGAAACAGCGGTTTTAATTAGACAATCAGCATTCGTTTCTTTACCTGGCAGACAACAAATATGGAAAAGTACGCCTTTACAACGCAATTATAAAATTTAATAAATTAAACACAGAAATTAAGTAATTTGTTAATTTTTCTCCAAGTGAACAGGAGAGTGCATGGGAAATGAGAAAAAATTACAAAC